GGCTTTCCCCTCCCCGGCCCGAGGAAACCGGGTGTGGGGAGAGGCCCCGGCCCGAGGAGACCGAGCTCGTTCGTGGGCACGGTCCCCGGAGAGCCGCCCACGTCTCCGGCACAGAGGGAAAGCTTCAAAGCGTGTTCAGTTGCGCAGCTCCTGCGCTTCGAACGCCAACAAAGGGTAATTAAGAATAAAGGCGCCTGTGTGCCAGCCCAGGGCGAACAGCCCTGCCCAGGGCTGCTGCTCCTTTGAAAGGCAGAGCGTGCGTGTTGCAGAGCAGTAGTAAAAAAAACCCCAAAACACAAGGTTTGAAACTCCAGATGGACGCAAAAGGAGAGACAAAACCTAAAGCAGTTATTGTCCTACGTTCAGCTTTTATTAGGTTAAGCATTTGTAGAGGAACACCGCAAATAAGCGTTCCTGGAAGAAAATACAGAGCAGCGTCTACTGCTGCTGTAGACTGAGTGCAGCTGCAGTCAAGACAACCTTTGGTTTAACAAACTGTGACTTCCACGCACACGCAGGAATGCTTTTGTGGATCTTGCTTATCGCAGGGTTTGCAAATAGAGAAATGTTCTTCATCAGATGGCAGCAGGACACACAAGTCCCTCTGAAACAGCATCTGTACTGTGTGCAGTTTGACCTTTGTTAGGGCCTTACAGTAATTAATGGGAGCAGAAGGAGCATTAACTGATTCTACGGTAAAGTGCCTTTTTTTGCCACAGAATTTCAGCCTCAAGATGAGCAACGCTTCCATGCCACCTGCAGCCGCTCTCTGTACAGAGAACGAGTCCAATGCCTGGTTAGCAGCAGCACGGATGCCCAGCCTAGGAAAAAGACGACATGCTGGTGTTAAAATCAGGCTTTTCGTGCTTTCACACTGATGCCTAGAGATTACATTGTCACTCGGGGAGGGAGGAGACAATTTCTGGGAAATGCATTGTTTCAAAGGGGGAATTATCTCAAAATAGCCTTTTAAAAAAAAAAAGAGCTAATGTTTACAGGTGCCATTTTGTAGTCAAAGCTGATTATGTTCACTGCTAACAGTGAAAATTCATTGTTACCTGCAAGAGATTCAGCATAGAAAGTAGATTCACCTGCAAGTAAACATGGCATTGCAGTAAGTGTAAAAGCAAGCAGAAAACCCAAAAGGCCCAGTTCTGTGTCCTTTTCTTATGCTAGTGCTGTTAAGGTAGTTTTTTAGAGAGCAAGCTCTCTAAAATTATGGGTAATCCTTACAAACAAAAGCAAGTTTATGTCAGAAGCAAGGCATAGCCTGAAAGTCTGACCCATGAATGTCATCTATTCAGATTATGGAAAAGGAAACACATACACTGAGGGTGGTGTCAGAAAGAAAAATAGGATATTTACAAAAAACCAGTATGTTTAAAACAGTCTCTTTTATTCAGCAAAAGAAAGTATCTTACCAGAAGATTGAGGGGAAAGAGTTTTCTACTTGAATGACTATATTGGAACAACTCAAGTTTGCAGCTATAACTGATATTTTATGTTGAGGAATATAAATCCATACCTTCTATGGAAGACATGAACACTTCTGTTCAGTTATTTGCTTCAGAGGGGTTTGGCAATTGTAGTTTTCATATGTGTGATAATAGCTAAGTGAAAAAGAAGAAAATAGTGAACTGTATTGGTTTGTAAAAGAACACTCAGGTTGGTTTCCTTTTAGGAAGAGAGTCTTGAAATAACACAACATAACCACACCATCGATTCCAGGTTGCTGTGCCTTGTATAGTTTGCAAGCATGAGCTGAAGATCGAAAATTACAAGACTCAGGCACACTCAGGCAAATATTTCAAGTGTATAAAGTGTCTAAAACTTGGGACTTGGCAACAAAGGACATGAATGAACATCCAGAAGACTGCCTTACCCTTCCTTCTGCTTAGAAATAATTTTCCAGACGATACCTGCCCCCAGGAGAAGCAGGACTCCTGCAGCTGCAACTCCTGAGATTGAAGAGCACATATTATTCTCACTGTATGTTTTAAAGCGTATCAGCACAAAAGACATAACGAGGCACATCTTCAGAGTAAGCAGAGGGAAACAGTGCCACTGGGGCCACTGCATGAAGTTAAAGATCTGGCCACAAAAATATCTCTTGAGCTGCTTACCTAGGCCTACTGAACCAGACTTGCGTGATGCTGAAGGGAAGAGAAAAAGAAAAATCAGCAAACTATTCTAACAAAATACGGTGTTTCTCAACTGTAGTTAATCACTTGATCAATAAAGCTTTTACTGCTAAGGGCTGTAATACAGGATTTCTTAAAAACCACACCGTTATATACTTTTTTTTTGATACAGAAAGACATTTGCATGTTTAAAATGCATTTGCATGTTTCTGTTTGATCTTTGCTTCATTTCCATTTCACTCACTCAGTTTACAGGCTGGTACAGGAGGGTCCCAGCTGAAGTCCTCTTGGCACTGAATCTGACTGATGCCTTCCAACGTGTAACCATCATCACATTCAAGAGTGATGTTAGTCCCAGAGCGATAAGTATTTCCTTTTATGGCTTTCTTAACACCTTGAACTTCTGGGAATACACATCTGATCTCTGAAATTAGAAGTAACAAAAAAAGGACATTTAATGAGAAGGAATATAAAATACAAGAAATACCACTGTGGGTTATTTAAGACATTGTTCTTGAATTCTTTCTGAATGTAACCAGGAATTAATTCTTATTCCACAGGGTAATGCCTTTCTTTGTGGCTGCAGAAGAGGGTAAGTGTCTCACTCCCATATGTGAATATTTGTACAGATCAGCTACTCCACACTGATACTGCACGTGGGAAGTGGTGTGTAGTAGGGGTACCTTGGGAGAAGCCTGCCAGAGAAAGAGATTTTTCTGATACTGGGCTACCAAAACATTTGGAGAGGAAAGGTGTAGCAGGGAAGAATTCTGTGGGAGCTTTAGACCCAACTGCCTATAACCCACTTCTAGTCTGTAGAAGTCCCTTATCCTTAAAAGATGTCACCAGCCATCATATTTATCAATAACTAACCAGCCATCTAAGCTATTTATACCACTGATTTCAATTAAGTGAATTAGTTGCTTCAATTTAAGTGTCTAATCACCTTTGACAGTCCAAGCCCAAGAATTCTGGAGGAGAAGGTTCTCAGCGGAGACCAAAGGGGTAACATCAACATGTAACTTTTAACCTTTGTTTCACGTCTTTTTTTTTTATATTTATTTTTACTTTCACACGTAATAGTTACTAAGGACACTTCAAAATCACAAGAATGTGGAATGGCAGGGAGAATTTTTCTGTGAGACTGCTTCCTTTAAAGAGCCTCTGACTTATTTACATAAGCATTTGGTACGTTATTTCCTCTCATTGTTATCCAAGCGCGGTTCAACTCTTGAGTCACTGAGGTGGGTGCAATTCCACCAAGGAAGCACACTGTGTGAGTAACGAATTTATTCCAGTGAATGTCCAGCTTTCCACGCAGGAACACCCACACCAGGAATCTTGTGACGCTGATGAAATTGCCTTTAGTCAAGCTTGCCCGATGACTGACCTTCACAGTGAGCTACACAGAAGTGCCAAGTCACATTGGCATATAGAGGCATTTTCCGAGAAGGGAATAGTCAGGCTCACCTGTGAGCTACAAATCACCCATCAGAGACAAATTCTCTGATATAATAATTTCCTTTGTTTCCTGTTAGTGATAACTGGGGAGTGAGAGACACAAAAAGGGAAGGAAAGGGAAGGGAAAAAGTTTCTACTCTTCTACTAAAAGTAAAAAGCTTTTAACAGAGGAAAGTTGGTATAGAACTCATTCGTAGCAACAAGAGCAGACATGGAAAACACGCAAGAGTTAAAATTGTCTTCCAAAATTGCCTCTATTGTACTCATATCCTTTGGCTACTAGCATGAGGTTCCCATCCTACTACTTTACAACAAAATCATACTCTTCCCAGGGATAATAAAGAGTAGATAAATTCATAATTAACAGATCAACACTGCCTAGCTATGATATGAAAGTGGTTCTCAAGCAAAATAAGGGGATGGAATTCAGCGTTAGCTGCAAAAGATTTTACTGCTTAGGTTTTGGCCCATGTATCTCTCTGATGATTTAATTTTTTCCCAAAGTAAAACATGCATATCAGCATGGCTGCATGTCTCCTCAGCCCATTTCTGGGAGATGTCTGCCATCATGAATTCCAAACAACATAAGCAAACCAAGCACAAACACACCTTTGCACTGAGGAGGCGGCTGGCTCCAGGTTCCTGACACCGTGCAGTTGATGAAAGCGTTCCCAACGAGTGAATAACCAGGATTACAGCTGTAGGATACAGATGCTCCATAGGAAAAAGTGTCAGAGATGTTGCCTTTGAGCTTCCCGTTGGTGATGTTTGGAGGATGGAGACACTTCACAGCTGGAAAGTCAGGGAGAGACAAATGACAGTGTTGACATGAGGATCCTGGTGGACTGCCAGAGAGTAGCTAAGGCATCGTACCTTTGCAGCCTTGATTGTTCCCTTTGAATTTCTTCACCTAGGCTAAATAACTGATTTTGTAACCCTGTAACTCCATCAGGCTTTGGAAATGGGTATAAACTTGATCTTGTTCTTATCACTCATTCTGTAGTAAAGGACTCAGTCCTTATACAAACCTTTCCCTAAGGCAGGTCATGTTAAACGTCCTTTCTTCTTAGGTCTCTGCAACAAAAACACACCTTGACAGACTGGAGAAGGATGGCTCCAGCCTCCAGACTCTGTGCAATGAATGGATGCTGTCCCAATGAGAGAGAAGCCGGGCTCACAGGTGTATCTTACAGATGTTCCAGGAGTGAAAAATGCTTTTGCCGGGCCACTGAAAGACCCATGGGCAATATCTGCAGGCTTGGAACAGCGCAGCACTAAAAAGAGAGAAGTGCAGATCAAAACAGAGCTCATACAGGCAAGAGGGGAAACTTTTGAGCACCTGTGGACGGCTGTACGCTCACTCCCACAGCATTGAATCCAACACACAGAGCCAGCCCTGCCCAGCCCTCTGGCTCACTTCACCCCAAATCATCTATAAAGCATATGGCAACACACACATTTCTTCTTACACAAAGGAACATTGCCCAGCATCATCTTTCCTGGTATATCAGATAAGAAGAGTGATTAGTTCATATATGTAATGGGAATTCCACACTTGTAAGACCACCTTATTAGAACATCCATACAGGTTCCTTGTGGCTGGCAAAGCTGGCCTAAGCTCATTTTTAAGGCATTCATACTGAGAAACTGAGGCACCGGATACTGCAGCAATAAGAATGGGAAAAATTAGCACAGATGGATCTTCAGATCTGAACGCTAGACTCCAGATTCCTCTTGCCTCCTAAACATGTTACAACACACCACCAAGAGTGGTAAGGTCCAAAAGGATAGCCATCCAAGGACAGATAACACATGCTTTCCTCTTTCACAGACAGGGAGTGGAGGATCCCGTGTGCCGCCTAGCCTGGCACTGGGACTTGTGGAGGTCTTTTGGGACATTAGCAGTGTTGCCTTCAACGGTAATGATGTCTCCAGGCCTATAGAGGGACTCCAATCTGATTGCTTTTCCATTCCCAACCCCTGGGCTCACACAGCCAACTGTGGGCAGTAAGGGTATGAAGAACCCGTTAGACCGTGAAACTTGTGTGGGATAGAGACCACAGAGACCTCATTCTTGGCCACAGAGACCTCATTCTTTCTTTAGTGGTGGAGTTTGTTGAAGCAAGAGCTCGTTTCAGCAAGTCCTTAGCCAAATATCACAACACGTTTAACGCATTTAGAAAGTTGAGAAGATTCGGTGGAAAGAGCACAAACACACCTTCGCACCAAGGAAGGGGGTGGCTCCAGACTCCGTATGTTGTACAACGAACACACTTATTGCCAATGAAGGAGAAGCCATGTTTGCAGCGGTAGTGCACAAGTGCTCCTACATCAAAAGTGTCTGAGAAATGACTGCTGTGTTCCCCATTAGTAATGCTTGGAATCATAGAATCATAGAATAGTTTGGGTTGGAAGGGACCTCTAAAGGCCATCTAGTCCAACCCCCCTGCCCTGGGCAGGGACATCTTCAACTAGATCAGGTTCCTCAGAGCCCCGTCCAACCATTGGAGGAGGCAGACACTTCACTACTGAAAGAGGAGAGGGAGAAGGTGAGAAGGTGACATTCAGTTGTGAAAGAAGTGATAACAAGAGAGTAAAAAAGTGCAATTAACCCTCTTCACTGCAAAAAGCAGGACAGGTTGGGAGGAGGAGCTAGTGTTTAGTAAATCTTGCCTCTTCTTATAATAGACCTACCTGGCTTCGTTTTGGTATCAGGATGATGATAGTGTTCTGCCACTCCATCTAGATGCAACATTAAGAGTTTAAAAGACAAACTTGGTCGATCAAATACAATGCACAAATTTACCTTCATTTTCCATCATCCTGCCTTTATATTTCCAGCAAAAATTTCACTCCTCTCTGATAGTGTCCCACCATGAAGCTACCAAATTTCTCACTTTTAGGAAATGAAGAGAACACGGATTACGGATTGCAACAAGCAGGGTGAGAAAAGTGCAAATCATGCTTATACTTACAGCATTAGCCAAAACCTGGCTTATCTCCTGTGTGAGAAGAGAGGCATAAATAAAAGGAACAATTTCTGCTTTCTCCTTAAAGTAGTTGTGGCAAACAAGAAAAATAAAGCCAACTTTGGCTTCAGTGAGTGGGTAGGAGCAGTCGGGGAGGAATCTGCAATGCTAACAAGTCAGAGTGCTGACACTTACCCTGCTTGCAGACTGGCACGGGTGGATCCCATGTTTTATCAGCTTGGCACTGGGCTGTGCCATGGCCTCGCAAGGTGAAACCTTTACGGCACTTAAAGCTAACGGTGTCTTTGTATGTGTAGCGATATTTAAGAACAGATACTCTCCCATTCTGGATCTGTGGGACTGGACATACCACCTCTGAAAAATAAATGTATTATCTCAAAGAGGGAGCCATATGTATGCTGTAATTAATGCATATATAAAGTCCATCCTTAATGTGCCACTGCTCAGAGGAGTTCCACAGGTAGTGCTTGGAGAGTCACAGAAGAATAATTTCAAGAATTGAGGGCTTTTTAGTTCCTAGGTTTACCACATGATTGTATATGTAAACATAGTTTTGTGCCTATAAGCAGAATAATGCAAATACATTCCCATAAATATATTAAATGGTGTAGAAATCCATAAGCACCATTAGTCATCCTCATGACTGCTTTACTGTACCAAGCTCATGCCTTCCAAAGCAATTCCATCTGAAGGAAAGACTAATTGCAATGATCAGCCCCCGCAAAACAGCCTTGTGGTTTGGATAACAGTACAGTATTTGGAAGATCCTAGTTCAATTTTACTCAATATCCTGCTCTTCTACTGCAAGACACATTTCTTCCTTAATTTATTACTTATGTTTGTGAAACATAAGGGACAAATCCCTGCAGGCATCTCACAGCTCTTCATTCTACATAACTCTGAAAGATCAAAAGCTAGCATCTGGAAGATTTTTAGAAGAAACCAAACAAGCAAATGAAACAAAACAATCCTAGAGGAATATTACACTTAAAAAGCCTTATTCCTCAAGGCTCTATTTATTTTAAGGAAATGCCACTTTTTAATTTTAAGGACTTAATTTGGCAATTCTGGGCCAGATCTAGTGGTGACCTACTTACTCTGACAAATGGGAAGAACACCACTCCATGCGACATCTGGTCCAAAAGTCTCACATCGCCTATGAGATACTCCAACCAGTCGGTGCCTGGAGTTACAGAGAAAGAAATATCAGTTGATATCAAGTCATTCAGCCTGGATTTTGCACTCCCAATCTGACACTACCCCCAGAGGTTTCCTTCTGCAGCCTCCTGTTTCTGGCTGGTCACCGAGGTGTTTCTGTTGGTTTGACACATGGGAATGAAGGACACCAAGTTCCTTCTTCCTAGATCCAAGAGGAACAGCAATGATCCCAAATTACTCCGGGTTAGATTGGTCAGGTGCTAAATCAGGACTCAGACCCAAGTGATTTCCAAACCGCTGGAGCCTCCTTGTAGCACGTGCTTGCTTGCACTCTCAGCTCCTGCTGGGTGGCCATCTGAGAAGGTAGACTGAAACTGAAGTTTGCAGAGTAATCTGTTGAGCGCAGGCAGGAGAAAATGAGAGACACTTCTCCCTTTCCTGAGCAGGCAACTATGGCATAACTGGAACCAAAATACAAATTCTGGCTTGCTGCGGGAGAACGCCCAGCGCAGAGGAGTGGGCTCTGAGCCTTTACCGTAAGTTGCCCAACACCGAGCTCAGAAATGGAGTCAGCAAAGGCAGCGTGGGACTCACCCTTCTTCACACGTGTAGCTCACGGTTGACCCAAAAAGGAGATCTGTCAGAACAACAACTCTGCCATTCTTTGGTGTTTCTGGGTATTTACATTGCTTCCCTGGGAAAGAACAAGGCTGAGTTTAAACTCCTCTCTTGCAGTTTTGTAATGCACTATGAGAAGGTATCTTAAGGATCTGTCCACATTCAGACACCAATAAAGACGTGATTTTTAAAAGGCCAATAGCTGCCCAAACTATGTGACTAGTGAAGCCATGTATAAATCATTTTTTAAAGAATTGCTTTAAGAAACCCACAAATGTAGCTTAGACAATTTTCAACAACCAACACCAAACTGATTGAGCTATTCACTTTTACAGAACGCTAGCGCTTCAGACCACGTGTGGTTTTTGAGGCATGTCAGAGTCGGGGGTAATCCAGGGTGTCTCATGTATCCCGGCTGGCAGCTGTATTGCACGGTGTCCCCAACAGAAAACTCCATCAGATTTTTGTATTCCTCAGTTAGCTCAGCAAAGGTTAAGTTTGGAGGTGCTCCACAGCCACCTATAGGAAAGAAAACACAGGGAAAAATAGGGATATCAACTACACGAAGTTGTTTTAAAATGTATATTGAGTATGCATAGATAAAAGTTTACGAGCAAAACTGACAACAAAAGGGAAGGACTGAAGGATTCAACATTTTGGGAAGAGTGAGGGAAAGGATCAGTCCTACAGGCTTTTGAAGGCAGAAATTCCCAGACTATCCATAACTCCAGCCATTATCTCGGAACCATTGTGTACCTGCACACTGAGGAAGAGGGAAGCTCCAGTTTCCAGAGTCAGTGCAGTAAATTGATGCCTCTCCCAGGAGGCTGTAGCCAGGGTCACAGCTGTAATTTACGACCATCCCAGTAGTGAAAACTTCCAAGTCCTGGCTGTTGTGCTTTCCTTTGTCAATATTTGGAGGTGAAGGACATTGCAGCACTAAAGAGAGAGGACAAAACAAAACGAAAAAAGGGCATGGACAGGGTAACGTGCACGAAGGATGCATGCGCAAAGACACCAGAATTAACCATTTCTATTGGCAATGGCTGGAGGGTGAGCGCACTGCGACACTGGGGGAAGAGGGCCAATCCACATTCATGACAGTAGTGAGAAAAAGGAGGAATATGGAAAAACGAGTGAGTTGGTGCACAGGAACATTGCAGCTGAGCTGCCAGCCTGTAAGAGACAGGGTGTCTCAGACAGGTATCTCTTGGCTGCTGCTCGTTGCCCGAGTCCATCCAGATACTTCACCCCTCTGGACTACTTAGCAGGTATTTCTGTGCACTCATCCCCGGTGAGTGCCAAAGGGCTCTCAGTGAAGCAGGGGCGATGTGGGCACTAACACATCCCGGCCCCACATCCTCCCCGGCCCCTCCTGTCTTGTGAACAGCCACTGCTCCACCGCGTGTCCCTGTGTGTGCCCTGCCCTGCCCGCAGCCTCGCCGGCGGGGACGGACGCCCGTGCACCGCAGAGCCCTACCTCCGCACCGCGGCGGCGGCCCGCTCCACACGCCGTGCTCCCCGTCCACCATGGTGCAGAAGATGGAGGGCTCTCCAGCCAGCAGGTGGCCGGAGTTGCAGGTGTAGATGACCACGT